TCGCCCACGACTGCAGGTTGGCTGCTCCCCTCACACCCGACCACGAAGTCGGCTCCGCCCAAGCGAGGACGGGGCCTAACACAACTCCCGTTGACAGAGTAAGCGTGTGGCAGTGTGAGTGAAGCCCCATTTTGCCCCTCCATGCAATGCTGTTTAGGAGTCACCTTCTACTATGCTCACTGGCTACCTCTACTTTTAGAAACATAGTAATGAAAAGCCTAAAAGCACCTTTGGTTGGATGCTATAGTTCTATGTTCCTAAAAAAAATGTCTTACAACACACTTTTTTTTTTAAACGACAGTATACGTTTGTTAGCGGGGTTTAGGGTTCAAAAGGGCGCCTCACAGTTTTGGGCACCTTTTAAAGTTCCTACGGAATTTGAACCCCTCACTTCAAATGTACCGGAGCTTTAAGCAGCTCAGAGGTTGTTTAGGAGACGCCTTCCGCTTTATTGCCCTTCAGGCATGCCATCACACCGTGGCTGGCACTTTGCTCACGCTCTCATGCCTCACCCTCCTCCCCTCCCCGCAGTGTGGGCTAGGAGATACCTTTCGCTGTGCCGGCTGTCCCTACTGCCGGCTGTCCCCCTTAAGGCTCGTCACTGTGTCCCATCCCATGGCAGGCGGTTCACCCACTCGCCCCTTCCCTCCGCTCCATCAGTCCCCCCCTCAACCTTCCTACAGTGTGGTTTGGATGACGCCTTCCGCTGTGCCGGCCGCCCTTATCGTGGGTTGCCACCCTTCAGCCTCAGAGAAAAGGTGAGTGGGGGATGGGATGTGTAAGAAAGATGTGGGGGGGGGGGGGGGGGGGGGGGGGGTGCGAAGGAAATGGGTGGGGGGGATGAGATGCGAAGTAAAGGGGTGGGGGGGACGGGATGGGAAGGAAAGGGGTAGTGGGGACGGGATGGGAAGGAAGGTGTGGGGGGGACGGGATGGGAAGGAAAAGGGTGGGGGAGGGCGGGATGGGAAGGAAAGGGGTGGGGGGGAAGGGATGGGGAGGAAAGGGGTGGGGGGATCGGGATGGGAAGGAAAGGGATGGGGGGACGGGATGCGGAGGAAAGGGGTGTGGGGGGGGGCGCACTGTGATGAAACATGATCGGGGAAAGTGAATGGGAGAGTGGGAAGAGGATGGGTGGGGGCTAGGATGAAATAGGATGAAGGAGAAGGTTTTTATCGCAGGTTGCGAGCCTTGTAGCTTGGAGAGGAGGTGAGTCGAGTGAAGAGAGAGGAAGGCCGATCTTTGATGAGAGTGTGAGTGGAACGGGGTATCAATGGAAAGCGATGGGAGAGGAGTACTATGAGTGGGCCAGGAGCATGTAAGTATGTGAAAGGACAAGCAATAGGGTGATTCTAGAATGTATGTATCTATGATGTATCCACCATGTTTGTAACCATCATCTTTGTATATATCATGTACTATGTATGTTTTTTCCCTTTTTGTAGCATTAAACGATCGGTTGGTTTCTGAATCTTCATTCGTGCTACCCTTGTTCCCCCTGACCCCTCTCTTTCCCTTTCTCCAATACTCCACTCTATTCCTGCTGACGTGTAAAAGCCCTCCTCTAAGGGTTCATCTCAGGATTGGAGAATTGGTTCATCTCTTCTCTGCGTGCCGTTCTTGCTCTCCTTACTCCTTGCCATTGTGGTTACCCAGATCCCCCCCTACACCACAACAATCCCCTTTCTGCTCACATGTAGAAGCATCAGGAATAAGTAACCGTGTTATATGTCGTGTCCTCACTCTTGCTTCCCCTACTCCTTCCCTCCCTTGCCATTCCCCCAGATCTCCCTCGGCAGAAATCTTCTCTGTACTGACGTGAAGAAGCCTGAGGATAAAATAAAGAGGTCTGCACAAGATTGGGTGTACAGCGACAATCAAGCCTGTTGACGCAACAGCTATGACGGCATGAGTTTATATGGCCGTCGCAGCAGAAAAGGCAGCGGGTGGAGCAGCAACAACAATCGAAAAGAGGAGCAGGGAAAGCAACACTTGTTGCTGCAGCATACCAGGAGCAAAAGCTGGAGCAGGAGCAGGAGCATGAGAGGCATACAGCAGGAACAGAGGCTTGTGATTGGGCTAGTGCGGGAGTTAAGCTTTGTTGGTTGTGTATGCAGGATGTTCTGATGGTATGATTATTGTGAATAGTCGATAAAAGTAAAGTACCATACCGTATACAATTTTCAGTATGAAGGATACCGTGTTGACGAGAAAATGGCTCCACCTTTACTTGAGCGTAGCCGACTTCGCGGTCGGGTGTGCGGGAAGTGCAGACGGCTGCTATCAGTCGTCGACGCCGACTTCCGAGGGAAATCAACAAAATTGGTCGACTTCCGCGGGACCACTGCCGCAACGCCGGCAAGGTGAAGTCGGTGGACGGCTTCGACGTAGTTGGTCGACGAAGGGATTCATCGACATGCGGGCGCTGACTTGCGGAGAAGTTCAATAAGTGCAACCCGTGGCCCCGCTGTGCCACAATGTGTAGTAACACCCGAAGCGTAGTCATCTTCGAGGTGGTGGAGAAGGTCTAGAAGAAGTCTACCTCCTCACTTTGAATGAAGCCTCTAGTCACGTAGTGTGCCTTGAAGACAGACGACAACCCAAACGGTTGCTACACCTTGAACATCCACATGGAATAACGACGTTTGCTCTGGGATGGGGGATTCGTTGACGTACATGCCTGTGGACCTCCAAAAAGCCATATCTGCGTCCATGGCTGCTATCTGCTGAGAGGTCCACGGTTCCGACATTCCCTGATTGTATGTGCAAGGAGTTGGAATGTCTAGAGTGTCCAGGTCTCCCTCAGGGGCTAGCATCATGGTACAGAGATGGGAAAAAGCAGATGTTACCAACGCTAGCTCTAATTGCCTGTCCTCTAGGACATCATAGCCAAGGGCACACTCAACCATGTCATATACAGGGTTGGTCGGTGGAGCAGCCACCACGCGAGGGGTATAGTCAAGGCAGGAGGTGGTGGGAAAGTTAGTGACAACGACAACAAGAGCCGAGACGGACAACTGAGGGGCGATGACGTCCGAGAAAGGCGATAACACATAAGGCAATAGGACGCGCGGTATGGTAGTCAGTGATAGGGTAAAAGGAAGCCGTAAGAGACGACGCTGGAGGAGAAGTGAGAACAGACTGAGGCGAAGAAGGAGGAGGAGTATTACGAAACAAGACAAAACGGTTGTCCTGGACAAGAGACGAGGCACGAGTACTTGGGGGCAATGGGTGTTCCAAGTGTGCGGGACAACATGTGGAAGCGACTGTGACTAAGGAGAGAAAACAGCCGGGGATGAGTTCGAAGGAGGAAACGTAGGACCGTGAGCAGGAAGTGGCGGTGAGCGGCACAGAGGAGAGGAAGGGAGACCAAGGGTCCAAAGACCACTACAGATTGGGACAACTGCTGCAACTGTGGTTGCTGCTGCTGTTGCTACTACTGCTGTGACCACAGGCGCTCCTGCACCAAACGCTCCTGCAGCCTGCTCCTCCCGCTCTAGCTGCTAAAGATGCTGATAACGTGTTTGGTATCAGAAGGCAGGCAGAGGAGGCGTTTGCAATGAGTCGTGAGTAAAATGGCAGGCTAAGAAGGCTGCCTCGTTGTTTTGTAAAATGTCAGCAGCATCGTCATCCATCTTGTAACGGCGTCGTAAATTCTGTAACGCCGCAATACTTTGGAAACTAAAAAGGTAAACGGAGTTACGGTCCAAACCATCAATTTTGACCGTCCGGGTCTAGATAATTGAACCTTCCGATATGGACATAAGAATTTTGCCTATAAGTAAAATGGTTACACGCCCTAAAATTTTGGGATTTCCTCCTCTCTTCCCGCCCCTTTTGCTCCGTATGGCCCTTTCTCTCTTCACGCTTCTTTGGGTCTTGCGGGAAATGTAAAACAGCCGAGAAAATCCGCTCTTGTAGCGACGCGTCTCGCCGTGAAAGCCACTCGCAGCTCGCAGCACAACTGTGACGGCCGCGCGCTCCTAACGGCGAATCGTTTTTGAGAGTCCTCAGTGGCAGTGATAATTGCGTAATACCAGTGACGGCGCAGCCCGCCGCACGCAACGGCGAACCACGAGGCCCGGGCGGCGCACCCAACAGCGATCCACGTGGCGGCAGTCGCGACAGCCACGCATCAGCCATGCGGTAGGGCGCGACAGTCCAACTAGGGTTGGCGTAAATCCCCCGTACAGAGTGGTGGGTTGTCAAGTTTAAGTTTTTGTAGACTGTCGCGTCTCTTCTGGTTCCAAACGAGTTTCGACGGGATTCGTTTGGAACGAATGGTGGGATTTCCATGGCTCCTTTCGCGCCGTCTAGTTTTGAGGCGCCTCAAATGTGGGGTACTGGGTGACCCACAAACGAGCTTCGACGGGATTTCCGTGGCTCCTTGCGCGCCTTTGCGAGGTGACATTCGAGTCGACTCAATATATCACCTGGTTCCGAACGAGCTTCGACGGGATTTCCGTGGCTCCGTGCGCGCCTTTGCTCCCTTCAACTCCCCCTCCCTTCCCCAGTCGTCCCATCGTTTTACGTCCAACGACGCATGGTTTGAGGCGCACGTCACATCCACCCCTGCCAAGCCATTTAGAGGCCATGCTTAGATATGCCTTGTACTTTCAATCACATTTAGAGCATCAAGCTCCGTCACTCGTCGCATATCTAAGCAAGAAGCACTGCCTTTGTCCCCTTCGCGCCATTCATCCCTGCCACCTGCTGAGGCGCGTTGACGCTGCAAAGCTCGCCCCTACACACCATTCATCCCTGCTCTGCTGCTCTGCCCTGCCCTGCCCTGCCCTGCCTTGCTCTGCCCTGCCCTGCCCTGCCTTGCTCTGCCCTGCCCTGCCCTGCCCTGCCCTGCCCTGCCCTGCCCTGCCCTGCCCTGCCCTGCCCTGCCCTGCCCTGCCCTGCCCTGCCCTGCTTTCTTCGGTGCTCTGCCCGACGCTGCTTTTGTTCTGTGCTCTGCCCTACGCTGCTTTTGTTCTCTGCTCTGCTCCTCCCTGCAGGCTTGTGGATGACCCGCTCGTGCCCGTCCGATTGGACCTCGAGATCGGAGATCAACGGCTGCAGGACGCCTTCTGCTGGAACAGCAACGGTAACATGACTGGCTCTCACTTGCTGCTAACATATTCCTTCCTTTCGCCTCTACTCACTTTTCCCAGACTCCCGATTTTTCTCTCTCAAGCCCCCCCTCACCCGAACCCCCACCGGACCCACCACCCCACTAAAGCCTGTCCTGTTGCGCACCCGCCCTTCCCCATTCGTCCGTTCCTTCCGCTCTTTCTCCATCACTTCCCGTCCCTCCCCTCCTCCCTCACCATTTCTTCCCCCTGTCCTTTCTCCTCGTTCCTTCCCTCCCCCCTGTTTTGGATTACCTCCTATTGACTTCCGTCCCTCCCTCCCTCCCCGTGACACCCCCCTGGCTCCCCTTGACTTCCACCCTCTCGTCGCTCCCCCTCCCTTCGTTGGCCTCCCCGTTCCATTGCCCCCACTTCCCTCCCACTGTGATCCCCTCATACTCTCCGCTTGCCCGCCCGCCCCCATACCCTCCTCTTGCCCTCCTCCCATCCTCTCCCGCTCCACTCCCCTCCTCTTGCCCTCTTCCCATCCTCTCTCGCGCCCCCGTCCCATCCACTCCCCTTGCCGCAGAGCCGGATGGGGAGATAGCAGCCTTTGCAGAGGGCCTCGTGAGGGACACGAAGCTTCCTACCTACTTCCTGCCGCACATCACACAAGCCATTCAGGTGTGCATCTGGTGGGGAGAGGAGGAAGGAGGGACGGAGGGGAGGAGAGGGAAGAGGCGGGTGGGGTACAGAGGTGAGGGAGATGAGGAAGGGGGGAAGAGATGAGAGATGGGAGGGGGAGTGGTTCTTGCACAGCACCTCACTTCACTTTGAGGCGCCTCAAAAGGGGGAGTGGTTCTTGCACAGCACCTCACTTCACTTTGAGGAGCCTCAAAAGGGGGAGTGGTTCTTGCACAGCACCTCACTTCACTTTGAGGCGCCTCAAAAGGGGGAGTGGTTCTTGCACAGCACCTCACTTCACTTTGAGGCGCCTCAAAAGGGGGAGTGGTTCTTGCACAGCACCTCACTTCACTTTGAGGCGCCTCAAAAGGGGGAGTGGTTCTTGCACAGCACCTCACTTCACTTTGAGGCGCCTCAAAAGGGGGAGTGGTTCTTGCACAGCACCTCACTTCACTTTGAGGCGCCTCAAAAGGGGGAGTGGTTCTTGCACAGCACCTCACTTCACTTTGAGGCGCCTCAAAAGGGGGAGTGGTTCTTGCACAGCACCTCACTTCACTTTGAGGCGCCTCAAATGGGGGAGTGGTTCTTGCACAGCACCTCACTTCACTTTGAGGCGCCTCAAAAGGGGGAGTGGTTCTTGCACAGCACCTCACTTCACTTTGAGGCGCCTCAAAAGGGGGAGTGGTTCTTGCACAGCACCTCACTTCACTTTGAGGCGCCTCAAAAGGGGGAGTGGTTCTTGCACAGCACCTCACTTCACTTTGAGGCGCCTCAAAAGGGGGAGTGGTTCTTGCACAGCACCTCACTTCACTTTGAGGCGCCTCAAATGGGGGAGTGGTTCTTGCACAGCACCTCACTTCACTTTGAGGCGCCTCAAAAGGGGGAGTGGTTCTTGCACAGCACCTCACTTCACTTTGAGGCGCCTCAAAAGGGGGAGTGGTTCTTGCACAGCACCTCACTTCACTTTGAGGCGCCTCAAAAGGGGGAGTGGTTCTTGCACAGCACCTCACTTCACTTTGAGGCGCCTCAAAAGGGGGAGTGGTTCTTGCACAGCACCTCACTTCACTTTGAGGCGCCTCAAAAGGGGGAGTGGTTCTTGCACAGCACCTCACTTCACTTTGAGGCGCCTCAAAAGGGGGAGTGGTTCTTGCACAGCACCTCACTTCACTTTGAGGCGCCTCAAAAGGGGGAGTGGTTCTTGCACAGCACCTCACTTCACTTTGAGGCGCCTCAAAAGGGGGAGTGGTTCTTGCACAGCACCTCACTTCACTTTGAGGCGCCTCAAAAGGGGGAGTGGTTCTTGCACAGCACCTCACTTCACTTTGAGGCGCCTCAAAAGGGGGAGTGGTTCTTGCACAGCACCTCACTTCACTTTGAGGCGCCTCAAAAGGGGGAGTGGTTCTTGCACAGCACCTCACTTCACTTTGAGGCGCCTCAAAAGGGGGAGTGGTTCTTGCACAGCACCTCACTTCACTTTGAGGCGCCTCAAAAGGGGGAGTGGTTCTTGCACAGCACCTCACTTCACTTTGAGGCGCCTCAAAAGGGGGAGTGGTTCTTGCACAGCACCTCACTTCACTTTGAGGCGCCTCAAAAGGGGGAGTGGTTCTTGCACAGCACCTCACTTCACTTTGAGGCGCCTCAAAAGGGGGAGTGGTTCTTGCACAGCACCTCACTTCACTTTGAGGCGCCTCAAAAGGGGGAGTGGTTCTTGCACAGCACCTCACTTCACTTTGAGGCGCCTCAAAAGGGGGAGTGGTTCTTGCACAGCACCTCACTTCACTTTGAGGCGCCTCAAAAGGGGGAGTGGTTCTTGCACAGCACCTCACTTCACTTTGAGGCGCCTCAAAAGGGGGAGTGGTTCTTGCACAGCACCTCACTTCACTTTGAGGCGCCTCAAAAGGGGGAGTGGTTCTTGCACAGCACCTCACTTCACTTTGAGGCGCCTCAAAAGGGGGAGTGGTTCTTGCACAGCACCTCACTTCACTTTGAGGCGCCTCAAAAGGGGGAGTGGTTCTTGCACAGCACCTCACTTCACTTTGAGGCGCCTCAAAAGGGGGAGTGGTTCTTGCACAGCACCTCACTTCACTTTGAGGCGCCTCAAAAGGGGGAGTGGTTTTTGCACAGCACCTCACTTCACTTGTTCGCTTCGCCTTCACTCAACCCCCCACCTCCTCACTCCCCCCGTTTCTCCTAAGTCCCACACCCCCCATCCCCTCCACACATGCATGGTCAGGTGGCTGATTTCCGGGAAAATACATTCCGTTTCTTCCCCACCCTTCCCCTTTCCCCGTTCCCCCCCAACCCTTCCCCTCCTCCCCCCTTCCCGTGCCCCCCGTTCCCCGCGCCCCCTAACTCCCTCACTCCCTATCCCATTGTCCACACACGCAGGCCCAGGTAGCTGAATTTAGATCGCTGCATGCGCAGGACCGGGCAGCAGTGCTTGGAGCCAGTGAGGAGAACGTGCACCTGGTGAAGGTGAGAGGGAGTCCCTGTAGCGAGTGTGGCTATAGCGAAAGTGATGTGTGTGGCTATAGCAAAAGTGATGTGTGTGGCTATAGCGAAAGTGATGTGTGTGGCTATAGCGAAAGTGATGTGTGTGGCTATAGCGAAAGTGATGTGTGTGGCTATAGCGATAGTGCTGGAGTGGGAGCACTCGATACGAGCGAATGTATGCTTGATGAAGGAAAGAGGCTGATTGTGTTATTAGAATGGGAGCTTTGGTGATAGCGTTGTGTGCTTATAGTCTATGTGAGAGTGCTTATAATGAAGGGAAACGAGCACCAGCTGAAGGTCGGCATGGTCAAGTGTGCAATCGCTTCCGGTATATAAGGTGACTCTTGAGTCGACTCAACAGTCTATCGACTTTTTGTGGTGTTTATGTCAGCACTGCAAAAATACTGTTATCACTCCCACCCTAACCTTTTGATAATTGATTTCTTACAATCCATCCATCCCTGCATGTGTCCACTTCCCCTCCACACAGCTGGATGTGTGCACAGCCACATGCATCATCATGCGAGGTCGTCCCTTTGATATCCCGCTGCTTGCCACCTCTCTATATTGTTGGTTTCCACATCTCACCCCTTTTCCACCCCTGCACACGTGTCCTCTTCCCTACTGCACAGCTGGATGTATGCACTGCCACATGTATCATTCGAGACCAATTCTTGTGGGTAAGCCACTGCCTTGCCAAGAATGGCCAATTCTTCATCATTCTTGTGGCCAGGTGCTGGCCTGTGCTCTAATCTTGATTTGATAATATAGAGTTTCACGACATCTCAAGGCCCCTTGCCCTTATCGCTCTCCCTCTCCCACCCTCACCCCATCGCAGGATCTGCACAACCCGTACGCGGATCCCGAGGCCTATGCTGCCGGCCTCTGCTCTGATCTCGGGATTACCGATGCCGACCCACAAGCACAGGTAGCTGTTTGCGATTTCCAAAGTGGTGGTCTTGTCTTGATATGTGCCACCGTCAGTCGCGGCAATAATTGTTGCTTCCTCAAGAATCGCCACATGTCATTGCGAGGTGCAGGCAGGCAGAGACAATGTTTTTCTGTGCTTTGCTGTGCTCTGCAATGCGGTGCAATGCAGTATCATTCTGACATGCAACGTCCGACTTAAGCGATAAGTACGGAGCATCTCGATCCCTTTACCCTCACTTCAACTCCTCCCTTCCCCTGCTGTGCTCTCTGTCCTCCTGCAGGTCTGGGTCGCAGTGACACTACGAGAACAACTACTCGAGGTGGGCCATTCAAGCAAAGTTCTGTTCTCTAGTGGTGTTGTTTGTTTGTCCGCTTGTCCATTTTCATACGTTACAGTTCCTTGTAGAGGATCATTTTAGTCGAGGTGACTTATGAGTCGACTCAAAAGTCCGTTTCTTGTAGGAATAGGTACTGCGTGGGTGTTCATGCTGCGCGGCACAATCAGTGCTGCTCGCGCCACTGCTGCTGCTGCTGCTACCTTACTCCGAGCTCGAAGACATGCGTCGCGCAGAGGCTGCAAACACTCCAGCAGCTTCTCTCGACTGCTCCACATCCTCCTATCCTCCGTTGTTCTGGTCGTTCGTTTGCTGAGCTTTGGCCTCCAGCTTTCCATTTCCTTCCTGTTGCTCCACATCGCGTTTACTTCGCCTTCCGTCAATATACCCTTGACCACCCCCGCTCGTGCTGTCTCCCTCACCGTTTCCTCCTTTCCACGTCCACCCTCTGCTGTTCCCAGCTGGCCCACAAGATGCTGTCCTCCAAGCAGCCCCGCTCCTCCAAGAGTTCAAAGTTATGCGCACTTCATCCACTCCCCATTCTTGCTGCCCCCCTACTTGCCCGAACTCCCCCTCCCCTCTGCCTGCCCCACCAGCTCGCCCGCCAGATGCTCGCTTCCAAAGAGCCGCGCTCCTCCAAGCGGCCAAGGAGGGAGCGCGGGGGGAACGCCGAGTGAGTGGCAGGGGGAAGGGGAGGGGGTATGGTATGGTGTTGTGGGTCGAGGGAAAGGTGGGATGATGGATGAAAGGCGAGGTATAGAGAGAGAGTTTGCCTGCAATCTATTCTCCTCCCTCGCTCTTCTTCCTCTCCCTCTCTCCTGCTCTCCCCCTCTCCTTTCTGCCTCCCTGCTGGTCCAACCCAAAACCACAACAGCAACTGCAGACCCTCTCCTGCCACACCAAGGTGACGATTTTTTTTGGCACCTCAGTAATCGCCAATTCAAAATTGAGCCTCAATTTAAGGAACCGACTTTGAGGCGCCCAAAAAGTAAAAGTCCCTCGACTCAAAGTCACCTCGTGGCCCATCTTGGTTTGGTTTGGTGTCATCATCGCCCTCGCTTTCATGCTCCCTTGCACCTATGTTCCTCCCTCGTTCCTCCTCCCCCTTTCTTCCTCCCTCGTTCCTCCTCCCCCTTTCTTCCTCCCTCGTTCCTCCTCCCCCTTTCTTCCTCGCCTTCCTTCCCTCCTCCTACCCCCTTCCAGCCCAAAGGCCACAGCAGCAGCTGCCGCTCCCAACCCGCCTGTGGGCACCACGGCTCTGGCCTTCATGCGGAGAGCAGACGGGCGCATCAGTGTGAGAAGGTGGGTGGAAAACAAACTCCTGCAATGAACCCTAGACGCAGGGCGCATGTGACTGCTGCAGAGGCTGCCCCCTCCAGAGGGCACCACCACTCTGGCCTTCATGCGAAGAGCAGACGGGCGCATCAGTGTGAGAAGGAGAGGGCGGGCCCGGTGGGGTGGGGTCTGGCTGGGTAGGGTCTGGCTGGGCAGGGTCTGGCTGGGTAGGGTCATGGGTTGGAGAATTCATCAGAGGATGCTGCGCAGGGCCACGGCTCTGGCCTTCATGCGCATAGTGGAGGCATCAGCCTGAGAAGGTGCGTGAGAAGGTGCGTGAGAAGGTGCGTGCGAAGGTGCGTGGAGTGCACCCTAGGCGCGGAGCGCAGGTTATGCTGGCCGGCCCCTCTCCCCTGTGACCACAGCCCGGCCTGAGAAGGTGGGGGCGGGTCCTGCCTGGGCAAGGCAGGGTTTGGAGAATCCACCGGAGGAAGCAGGGCAGGTAGGGTGGGTTATGGGCGGGATAGCTGGATGGGGGAGATGGAGCTGCTGGTCGTATCATTCCAGAATTGCAAGCCTCGCAACACTAGGCTGCATGCATGCATTTCGGTTTGAGTCACAGGTCTGTCTTCCGACGTGGCTCAAAAGCACTTCTCCAGTTCCTTTCTGTTTCTTCTGTAAGCTCCCTCCCATGCTTCTCAGCTTTCCTCAACTCCTCCCTTCCCCTGCAGGCCTCGCAAGGACTGACCTGCATTCGACCCCCAGGTGGAGCTCCTACAGACCCCGTCAGATGCATCTGCAGCTTGTAACACTGCTGGTAACCCTGCTAACCTCCGCTGGTGCATCTTTCCTTACTCCCTTGCGTCCCCTGCAGGCCTTGCAAGGACTGGCCTGCATTTGAGCCCCAGGTGGAGCTCCTTCAGACACCCACTGGTGCAACCGCTGCGCGTAACGCTGTTGGTAACCCTACTGATGCTGACGAGGCAGCCATTGCTGCTCTAGTCGCTGGAGATATTGCTGCTGACGTGGCAACTCCAATACAGGCGGATGAGGACGCTGGTGATGTGGCAGGTGCTGGTGTCTTTCCTGCTGATGTGGATCTTGACGCAGATGACGACGGGGGTGCTGGCGATGATGCTGGGAACTATGGTGCTGACGTGGCGGATAGGGATCTTAGAGACGAGGACAAATATCTTGGTGATGAGTCGGATGATTTGGGGGGTGTAGGAGAGGATGAAGTGTATCTTTCATCCTACTTGCCTAAGAGGGGTCCAAGGCATCCTTGTTGACTTGAAATGTGAAAATATGTGTGTGGGTGTGTGTCCTTGTGTTCACCAAGTTCAGTATTTCAAGGGGTATGGTTGTATTTTCAGTTTCCAGAGAATGTCATAAGAGAGTAGGTTCCGATCAGGGCTCACGTTATCAGTGTAAATCACCCTGATGCCCTGATTACAAGGGTGATTTTTGGTAGTAACACTGATGCTGTTGGGTAATTTTTTTGGGGTCTGAATATACCCTGATGTGCCAGGTTTTAAGTTTAAGGAACACTGTCGCCTCAGGGTTGCCTTTCCGCGTATCGAGGTTTACCCTGAAGCGCGTACCAGCGAACCCACACCCTCCCCCCACCCCCCCCCCCCCCCCCCCCCCCCCCCCCCGTCCCCTAACCACCCGACCCCGAAACCTGGATTTTACCTTCGCCAACTGTCGAAAATGTAGATTTCGGCAGGACTTGACGTGTGCTGGAACGAGGTGGGCCACCATTGGCCAGAAAGGCAGTTTCTTTCGAGGAATCACCAATGTAACGAGTTGGTCTTGTTGTCTGACATGCCAGCATTACAGGTTTGGCAGGATACCTGGGTTACTGCAGCACAACAACAAGGCCCACTTGCACCCTATGCACCGCGTGTTGTGCTCTACTGTGGGTGGCACATCTGCTCCCTTTGCCAGCACGATAGGACATGAATGCGCAGGGGATTGGGGGCACCAGCACGGTGGTGGAGTGGTCTTGTTGAGAGGCGTCTCTCACGATTGTGCTTTTTCCACTGAGCTTGCTGTTTGTTGGCCTAACACCCCCGTTCGCAGCCATGGCTCCCACAGCAGACGATGACGCAGGTGAAGCTGCTGACGAGCCACCTAGTGACGCTCCAGCGATGAGGGGCTTAGATTTTCTCAGAGGGCTGCATCAGAACCCTCCGCCCGTCAGCACTGCTGGCCCACCATCGAGCACCGGCGAAAAACATCCGCCTGCTCGTCCACCTGGTACATCTGGCGGTGAGCCCGAGTGTGCTCCCGCCACCGTCAGCGTGACGGAGGTGGGCGAGTCTTCGTCTGCCGCCGCACGGAAAAAACGCCGATTTGCGCAAACCGCGCTCCCGTTCGGCACGCCCCCTCCGAAGCCAACTCCTACACCGGCGCCCGACAAACCTCACTCGCGGGTGTCTCGTGTTCTCACCGATGCCGAAAAGGCCGAGGCGAAGTTCGACAAGGCGCTGCAGCTGTACATCACGCAGTGGCTACCCAAGTTTGAATGGTTGCTGCTTGACAAGAACGAGGGCGGGTTGCCCGTCTTGCGATGCAGCATATGTGTGGAGCACGGGAAAGACGACGCGAAATTTGGTCGCAACGGGCCGGGGGGGCGGGATCTTCAACCTGGCTCTATGCGCTGTCACGAGCTGAGCGTTCGCCACGATGATGCGTTGAAGAAGCAGCGGACGCTTATGGCAGAGATTGAGACGCAGAAGCGGTTGGACGACTTTGCAAACGCCGACAAGGAGGGTGCGCGGCTGACTCGTCTCATGCGGGCCGTAGACTTCATCTGCACCCACGACGCGCCAATCGCCATGTTCCCTCAGCTCGTACAGTTCATGGCCGAAGAGGGAGTTGAAGACATTCCGTTGAAGTCATACGGGGTCTACATCTCACACTAAGTCGAGTCGTTACCTTTTGGCGTGTACATCTTCCCATGTGTAACTATCTTAACAAACCTACTGACACCAACCCGCTACGCTTGGCAGGTACGGCTTCAACGAAATGGCGTCGGCTATGGCAAAGTACCAACGAACTCAGCAGCTGCAGCATCTACTCGCCTCCCCGTTCATCGGGCTGACTTGTGACGAGAGCACCGACCGCGCGCGTGGCAAACACTTGATAGTGTTTGCCACTTTCCTCAAGAATGGCGTCTCCGTGACAGAATTCTTGGTGCTGCTCTCGGTGCAGAAGTGCGACGCGTCATCGCTCTACACCGTGCTGATAAGCCACTTGGAGTCTCTCGGCGTCGACATGCAGCGCGTGTCCGGCGTCGGCACCGACGGGGCTTCTGTCATGACGGGCGATAAGGGCGGTCTTGTTGTCAGGATGAGAGAACGCGTTCCGCATCTAGTCGGATGTCACTGCGTTGCGCATCGGTAATGTCACGATTTCTCACTGGATGTCTGTAACCTGTTTTCTCCATGTTATAATCCCGTTGCCCACAGTTGTTAACGTTTTCCCCACTCGTTTCTAATTTGTTGCAGAGAGGCGCTGGTCGTAAAAGATGCTGCTAAAAAGTTCCCCGACCTCAACATGATCGACGCGGGAGTGCGAGCAGTGGGGGAAATTATCTGTCGCTCGAGCATCTGGTACGAGAGGTTCAAGGAGTTGCAGCAGGAGATTCATCGCACCAACCTGGAGCACCAAGGGCTGTTCAATGTCCGGTGGCTGTCGCGGGGTGACGCAATCGCACGGCTGTGTCGTGTTTTCGGGGCAGCTATAGTCATGATTGTTGAGTATGGCCACAAGATTGCCGCCACAGTGCAGACATTTAAATTTCACTTCTGCCTGTACTTCCTGGCTGACATTCTTGCAGAGCTGAACGCCCTGAACCAATTTTTCCAGCACCGAAAGGCAAGTATTCAAACACGTTCAATACACCCGCCCGTGACACTATAGGCTTGAAACTAACCCAATTGGCGATTCAATGTTCCCCAGGTCGACATCACCCAAGTGGCGAAGGAAGTGGACCGTACGATCGCCATCATCACGGACCGGTACATCGTGTACGGGGATACTTTTGGTGGCGGCGTCAGCAAGTTGCTGTCTAGATTCATCAAGGACCACGGCGGGGCAAATCGCACGGTGGTGGTGGAGGGGATTGACAGCGAGGGCCGGCCGACATCACATCGATTTGAGCTGAGCGAGGAACCAATCAAGAAGCACAAGTTTGGTGGCACGCGCGCGGACTGTGAGAAGTTGTGCACGGGGTTCGCGAAGGAAATCGTGGCGCGAATGAAGTTTCGCATGTGGGAGCGTGGCCGTCCAGGGACGAACAGCGGGAGATCAAGTGCATGGATTGGTTGGTTCAAAACGACGAGCTTTTCGGCGGCATGCTCCCGGGTGAGTTTGTAAACCACACATGCCATCCTGTCGGATTGCCATGTGCTTGTTGTCATCAGAAAAAAACCAAACAAATCCACCCACCCGTGCTCCCCCCTGTTCCCGTCCACGTCAGGTTTCCAGCTCAAAGCGGCGAAGAAAGAACTCAAGAGCTTCTGTCAGCTTCTGGCACGTCATCACGATCGCGACGATTTCCACCAGGGCCTGCAGAGCATGATGAAAAGCAGAGACTGGCGTCGCAGTTATCCGAACATGATGACGATGTGGCAGGCACTCGCTGTGCTCCCACTGAGCACAGTTGAGTGTGAGAGGGGCTTCAGTCGCCAAAACATCATCAAATCGTGGATGCGCACATCCCTTGGCGATGCTCGCCTTGGCGACCTCATGACGCTGCAGATGCAGAAGTACCCCTACGTGTGGCCTGACGTGGTAGACATCTGGCGCAAGCAGAAAACAAGACGGCCAGCGAAAACAGTGGCCCTGCCGACCCCAGCGGAACGAAAAGGCAAGGAGAAAGTGCCGGAGCCAGAGGAGGACAGTGACCACGAGCAACAACCGTGTGACATGTCTGATGATGATGATTAGTGTTGTTATTGTGTGCTGTGTTAAAAAACAACTTCAACATGGTTTTGCGATATGGTACACTGATGCCTCAGGGTAGTCGTTTGTAATACATGCAAAAACCCTGGCGCATCAGGTTTTCCACAATGGGTAACCCTGAAAATCAGGTTTTTGAACAAGTGCTAGACTGATCGTAAGGGTTGGTCAAAACCAAACGTGAGCCCTGGTTCCGATGCTTTTGCTGATGTAAATTGGACTTGTGGATCCTCGTAGATACTGTACTCTTTCTTGCGCATGCGCTTATTAATATCTTTTTTTTCTCTCGAGTGCATTCACATTCCACATTCCTTTCATAATTTAATAAAGAACATACTGAGCGTATGTCCAAAGGTCTAAAAGAGCTGATATTCCGTCCATCTATTTGTACACAACATCCCATGTATATATAATCATGTATTTTTGAAGGAGTAATACTGTCTATATGAAATTAGAGGGGGATGTCAGCAAATTTCGTAAGTAGAAAGCACATAACGAATCACCCCCAGGACTTCCACCACTTCCATTGCATCGGGACGCCTCAACCTTCGCCAGTGCAGCACTAGAAATTCGCGCGCGCTGCGCTTGCGAGTGGCAAGAACTATGGTGCTGACGTGTTTTTACATCGCGGCTCGTCCCATCGTCCATTCTTTTCGAGGACAAAAGCTACCCTTCGTCTCTGCAAATTTCCCCCGTCCAATCTCTGGATTTGCCACCCGGCGCATTGTGTTCACGTTTTTCACTTGGTGTTCGTTCACCCTCGCACCCGGGGAAGGGGAAACGACCAGTTTGTTGCTAAGCGTAATCTCCTTACAGTACGTGTACAAGCAAGACGGCTGCAAGCAGCAGGGCGGCGGCATGTACTTTGTAAGGCATGGCGTGATGGACAGCGACAGGACAGCAATTGGAGTAGATACAAAAATGCTCATGGATCATATCGCTAGTTAGCAGGGCAGCAAAAGTGCTTTCTTGAAGTTTCTTCCCACGTTACTGTAGTGGCGCACCAGGTAACAGCACCCTACAAAACGACGCGCTAAGCCAGTCTCGGTTCGTTAGCGGCGATCTTTCCTTGTGGCTAGCTTGTCGCAAAACAAACAATGCGGAACGCTCACAGCTTTTGTGACAATCTCCACTCCGTTCATCCACACTCTTCACACTTCCACCCTCCTCCGCCTAAGCCGCTTACACTCGATCACACCTCACTCATACCGCAGCTCCCCCTGACCCTCGCCTCGCCTCTCCTCCTCACTCGTTCTCTCACTCATGCACAGAACGATCGTCTGCTGTTCAACTGTCTGAAGGTCCCCCAACGATTGTTTGCTGTTCCGCGCACCGCGCCTCCATCCGGTGGAAGGCCCTCCTTTAGCGCAGTACACGTCCCCGCGAACAGTAACACGCGGTGCAGCGTGCGTCGCGAACAGCACTGAACGGGTAACAGAAAGTTGCCGAAGCTGCCACTTCCTCCATAAGCGCGGAGCCCACAGCAACTTGGCTCACGCTCGCGACTTCGCGCACGAATCATCTGCTTCCCCAACCCTTCCAGAACCTCCGCCTCGGCGCGTTTCCGCTCGACCGTCGACAGGCTGTGACTCTCTCTGCGCGCTTGTTGTTTCCTGGCTTCCCAGCAAAGCGAAAGGTCGAATTGCGGCGGATTACGCCAATCAGCCTGCGCCAGGTGGCGCGACTTACGTCAGATCATCTCCACCTCCCTGCCTTTCGCCCCGCCTTTTTCTCTCGAACCGTCTTGGCTGTATCTGTGAATCCACAGTCAACTTGGCTGGCATTCCTTGTCCAAGAAGATCTAAGATCCCGCCGCATTTGCGCAACATAAACGGTGAATCCGGCCACTCAGAGATATTTCGATCCCGGGATCTGCCCCCCACAACGTTCCGCAATCTGGGGCTCCCACTCCTGCCCATCCCCCCCCTGTCCATTGGGCTAGTGCAGCAGGTGGGCACAGCATCCCCCCATTCACCGGCACGGGGAGCAGCATTGAGATAGCATGTGAAGTGCAAGTAGCGGCCGTCACAGCGAGGAGAGCCACAGGGCAAGGGAGATAGGAAAAGGGGCAATTTCACGCGAAGGAAGAGACACAACGGATACCCGCGCAAGGCTCGGATCAAACCCTTGGAGAGTCGGACTCCTATTGGAGTGGAGGCTTCATCGGAAGCTGCGGAGGCTGCACTGTGCTTCGGCGATCATCATTGTGTCAGGTGCGGAGCTCAGTTGGGAGCAGTTCTTTCAGTTAACCGTGGGTTCTAGAGCTTGAATGCTGTTTGCTAAGACTGGCTCTCACGTGGTCTGCTTCAAGTTGTGGCGCTGAATGTTACGACGCCGCATTTTCTTAGGTGCCTCAAAAGCTTTGTCGGTCGACGACTGTCATGAGCTGCTGCTGGCCTTTCCACAGATCCAAGGGTCGACGATTGAGCGCGGAGTTTGCCCCGAGAATTTGGGAGATCGCCACGAAAAGCACTACTTACAAGGCGGCGAAACGTCTCGACTGATTTCTACCCCCCGCATTGTTGGGAGAAGGCTTTCTGGTGTTGAGCGGATAGCATAATTCCGTCGCTACGATCTGCGACGCAATATCGGTCTCCCTCGAATGCCGCCGTTTTTTCAAGCATTCTAATCTGGGTCTCGCGGCGCGTATTAGAGATTCTCGCGCGCTCCTTGAGACAACCTATTTCATCAGAAGATGCATTCTACTCGCTAGCAGAGACTTTGTCGCATCGAGCATCTGAGCTGCGAGCAGCAGAACAAGAACTGGAGCAACGAGCAAGCATGAGAAGCCGAGAAATCAGCAACGGAAACAGCAGCTGAGCGGTTGAGCAATTGGGCGTGTGAGGGGAAAGTGTTTGAACCTGAACTTCCAACCCGTGCGAGCTTCGCAAGTTGCTTTTACCGGAGCCGTTGTCGCGGGGGAAATTGAATCGTCGCCGCTAGTCGCCTCTTGTTACTGCGCGGTGGACGAGTGGTGGCGACGGGCGACGAAGCGACAGACACCATCTTGCGAAGCGCTTCGGCTGGACGACAGCTGGATCGAAATGGGTAGTCGCGGTAACACAACGGGCAGAACGTACGCGGCACGGTGGAGTTCGGAGGTGTGTTGTCGCAATTGGCATTCTAACTACATTAAGCTCACGACATTGCCATAAAATACAATACGCCACTTTATTTCATTAGCCTACTGTGGCTCATCATTAAAGCAAGCAGCCGCTTACAGCTGCTTACTATTATTTCCTATTTTCCCCTCCAGGAGGACAAGATACTTCTCGAGCATGTGTTGTACAATGGCACGTCGCAATGGGCGTTGCTTCAACAGAGCAATACGCTGGGACGTCATCGAGACAGCAAGGCTTGCTGTAACAGATTCTTGCTCCTGAAGAGGTAAGGAAAAGGATATGGTGTTTGCAACGTTGTTGCATATTATGTGCAGCAAAAAAATATAGTTTTGTTGGCACATTTTATGCATGTTCTAAAGACATGTCGTTGATTCGTTGGGAGCAATCATCATGGCAATGCCTTTTCCCTGAACTTGGTGTTTGGTACCTTTCACCGTCTCTATCTCGAGGTGCGTCCTTGACCCAATGATTGGGTAAGACAACTGCTCACATTGGCCGACTTAATCGACAGAAGATGAAGAAAAGGAAAGAATAATGATCGGCACGTGCGGGCCTTACAAAAACCCTACTTCCTAACTCTCACTCCTCCCAAGGTCATGCAGACTCTTTGTCTAAATTCCACTCTCACTCTTCTCACCCATCCAACCATGCTCCTTTTCTTTGATACATTCTCCAGAAAGTTCATACAAGACGCCAACAAAGCAGACTCCACCTGCAGCACTCCCGGCGCCAGCACCGTCCCCAGCATCATGAGCGGCTGCGGCCTGGGCGGCGGAGTTGACTCGGACGACCCGTTTGACTCAGAAGAGTCAATGATGGACTTCCCTGTGCCGCCCATGCCCGTGCACGAGATCATGCGCTGCCTGCACTCCTCCGCTGCTGAAATGGCCGCCGAGGACGGCAACCCTGAAGGGGTCGTCCCTGATGCTGGCAACAATGGTGCCTCTGACGGCGCTGTTAACCCTACCACATGTGGTAACCCTACTACTTCCGGTAACCCTGCCTCTGCTGTCCCTGGCCGAGCCACTGCTGCTGCGAAGGACGGTCAAAATGAGGCGGCATCAGCATGGACGGCTCAAGGAAATCGCCTGCTGAGCAGGACTGCTTCTTCCACCAGCGTGACTCTCCGCGGCTCCGTGCTTTTGGATGGAGGCAGGGCGAGAGACTGACAGCACTCCCATGCAGGCACCTACCTGCGCCTCTCCTCGGGGCTCCACTGCTGGTGCCAGCCCTGCCGGTTTCACCCCTGCTGGTGCTGCAGGGCTGGCTTCAGCGGCCTCGTCAACTGATTCGTCGCCGCTTACAGCGGGCGCTACTGCCAGGGCGGGGCAGGTAGCTGAGTCATCGAGTGATCGGGCGGACAGCAGGAAGTGTCTGGACGAGCACAACAAGGCCATCAGGTATGGCATACATGCATGCTTGCCTTCCCTCTTCACTGGCATACATGCGTCGTCAGAGTCCGCATTCTGGTAGCCCCCTCAGTACCCTCTGTGATTGGATAGTTTCTGTACCACTCCATTGTTGGTGCCTTTCCGTGCCTTTCGTTTCCGTCTCTAAGGTACTTCCTTGTCTCCAGGTCCCTTCTATTCCTTACTCCTCGACTTTTCCTCCCCCTCCCCAACCCATCCTCCTCCTCCTCCTCTCCTCCACCTCCTCCTCCTCCTCCTCCTCCTCCTCCTCCTCCTCCTCCTCCTCCTCCTCCTCCTCCTCCTCCTCCTCCTCCTCCTCCTCCTACTCCTGCTGCTGCTGCTGCTGCTGCTGCTGCTGCTGCTGCTGCTGCTGCTGCTGCTGCTGCTGCTGCTTCTGCTGCTGCTGCTGCTGCTGCTGCTGCTGCTGCTGCTGCTGCTCCTCCTCCTGCTCCTCAACCGTAACAGGAAACCCATGATCCCTAAACCCTGTGTTATCTTCTCTATTTCGTCCCACCGCACTCCACCCCATTCCACCCCCTTTCACAGCTGGTGCATGCTCGTGTTTGCCCATGCCAAGCGGTGGAGGGAGCAGAAGCAGAAGCGGCAGCTTGGTGCAGCCGAAGCAGGTGGGCCGAAGTCAAAGAAAGCACGGCACAAGCAGCAGGAGTTACAGCAGCAGCCGCAACCGAAGCAACCACCACTCCAGCAGCAGCCGCAGCAGCAGCAGCAGCAGCAGCAGCAGCAGCCACAGGGCCCACTACAGGTGTCACCACCAGTGGCTCCCCAGGTGCAGCAGACGACACCACAGCAGGTGTTGCTTCAGATGCCACAGCATGCACCGATTGTCACACAGCATGCACCAGTAGTCCCCAAGCAAGCATGCGCCCCCTCTCATCCTCCTCTTCTTCGCATCAGCCAGCATTGTCCCTGTCCCGCAATCCTTGTGACTCACCCTCCCACTCCCCACCCTCCGCCCCCCTGTTCCTATCCCACTGCCCCTCACCCTGCTCCTCTCACTGCTCCTCACGCTGCTCCTACCACTGCCCCTCACGCTGCCCTTCACACTGCCCCTCACACTGCCCCTCACACTGCCCCTCACACTGCCCCTCACACTGCCCCTCACACTGCCATTCCCACTGCCCCTCCCAATGCCCCCCACACAACCCCTCCCTCTTCTTACCACCGCCCTCCACAGCATCCCTCCCTCCACCCTTCCCTTCAGCCCCCCCCAATTCCACACCACCATCCGTGTTACACTTCCCAGCAGCAGCCACACCATTGCTCAGACCCACAGTGTACTTGCAATACCCCTCTCCACCCATCTGCTGCACTTCTAACCTACCCAGAACCATCAGAACCGCGCGCTTCTTGGTCTACTACAACTACCCTGGAACCTCTTCCTGCAGATTTTCCATGCCCATTTCCCGTCCCTCATTGCGCATCCTCCATCCCTCCTTCATCACAAGTCCGGGATGTATTTCTGCACTGCAGTCCTGCAGTGGAGGAAACCACGGGATACCTGGCTCTGTTGCAATCTCCTGAAGCTGAATCACCTGATAACCACGTGCTACAGCAGAGGGGATTCTGTACAGCACAAATTCAACGGCGCGGATCTGCTTATCAACAAGAGGCGTATCTCCAATCAACGGCCCAGGGGAACAGAGGTTCCGTGGTCGTGTATGACACACAGGTGAACGCTGAAGGGCGGCCCTGGCTGCACCAAGAAGAGCTGGGTTGGGGGGAGCAGCAGCTGCGTGAGGGGTGGGAGGAAGCTTCTGAGTCGCCTCTGGGGCGGCTTGCACAAAGCCGAGAGGAGGGGGGCTGGCAGCAACAGGCAGAGTCGCAGTGGGAGGCTCAGAGGGAGGCACAGCAGCAGGCACACGGGCACGATTCAGTTCTGCTTCACCCTTCCTCTGCCTTCCCTGTGAACCCTTTCACTTCCCCGCATCCTTCTCATCAAGGAGAGACCTTCCCTCTGGCATCAGTCTCTGACCTGAAGCCCTGCAGCCGAGCGCTCATCTCTGCTGCTCTCCATCATGACATGCTCGAGACGAGCAATCAGCTCGCTGGGTCTGGTGGGAGCAGCGTGGCGGAAAGCACGTGGAGCATGCATGAAGATGCGGGGAAAGAGGGGTTTTTGGAGGAAATTGGACTCAGTAAGGCACAACTCAGTAAGGCACATAGTGTGGATGGGAGCGAGAGCACCAGCTGCTTCATGCGTTTTGATGATTTTCTGGGCACAAGCCCGGGTAGGGATGCATGCAGTGGCAGACCGGAGCAGGAAGGCAAAGAGAGGCTTCAGAGTGCTCATTGGTGGGATGACCTCTTTCCAGAACTCTTGTAGAACGTTTGTTGAGGCTCACGGTGACACTTTCTTGAAGCCGTATTAAGACGTCACCATATTTCCCTTACTATTATATGGTGCTTATATGCTATACTAAGCGTTACTGTAAACACCCAGACAGATGGCCTTAGGGGTTTATATTGCACCTTTTTGGCCTTTTTGTTGCTAACATCCCCCTTGAGGCTTATAAGATATATTTGTGTTGAAACGTGTGGGTACTTGTTTCAGAATGTTACTGCTTTTAATCTCTGATGGATGTGATGTGATTAACCCTCAGGCACATGCGCTATGTGAAGCACAACCAAATTGATGCGAACGATGATATAGGGTTGAACAAATGGTGAAATTAGCACATAGCATACACCTACGGTATGTGCAGTGCAGAAGCAGAAACGAGAGCTGCGGGTGTAGTTGAGCAATCAGGGTGGCTGGTGCTGCCGCGTCCCGCAACTCCTTTTGTACGATATGTTATACAAGTTATCTAGGCTGTAGTGAGTTGCATCCTACGGGGTACAAAAAAACCTCTCGATGTCCTTCAAGTACCCCTCTCCCTTACCTAAATCCATCATTCTCTCTTAACTCCTTAGATTACAAGAATCACCTCGATCTGTAGTGTACTTACAGTGAAAGCCACCATGTGGCTCAGTAACCCATCCCCAATTCTGCTTGCATTCCCCCCATCCTGTTCCCCCTTCCCCCATCCTGTTCCCCCTTCCCCCCATGCTGTTCCCCCTTCCCCTGTTCATCGAGGAACCACCTCGATATGCGGGGCACTCCCGGTGAAAATCACCACGTGGCTCAGAAGCCCATCCCCAGCCCTGTTTGACTTCCCCGCATGCTGTCCCCCTTCCCCCCATGCTGTCCCCCTTCCCCCCATGCTGTCCCCCTTCCCCCCATGCTGTCCCCCTTCCCCCGCCCCTTCCCCTGTTCATCGAGGAACCGCCTCAATCTGCGGGGCACTCCCGCCCGATGAAAGCCACTGCGTGGCACAGCCACCACATCTCCATTGCGGCTTAACGTCCCTCCATCCCTCCTCTTATTGCATCAAGGAACCACCTCGATGTGCGCCTCAGTGCCAGTGAAAGTCACCGCGTGGATCAGCCCATCCCCATCGCTGCTTGGCATTCCCCATGGTGCCCCCGCCAGCACTCCTCCCCACCCACCCCACTCCTTTTTCATCTCGGAACCACTTTGATCTGCGGCTCACTCCCTGTGAACGTCAGCGTGTGGTTCAGCAGCCCATCCGCCTCACTGCTTGACGTCTCTCCCTTCCCTACATCCCCCTTCACCCCCCTCCTCATCCGCTCAGCAAACCACGACTCCTCCTCCTCCTCATCAATCTCCTCCGCAATCTCCTCCTTAAACCTGCTCGGCCCTTTCGACGCCGACGCAACAATCTCTGCCCAGAATGATCTACCAGCTTGGGAATTCACTGCACCGATAGACCCCCCCCTCCCCCCATTGGACCGCTCGCTATAGTCACGCCTGCTGCTGCCATCACCACCACCACTAGAAGCACCACTAGCAGCGCCAGAGTTACCAGAAACAACACCACCAGCAGCAGAACCGCCAGCAGTAGCACCATCAGCACCAGTACCCCTATGGGAGGCAGAGACACAGTTGAGCATCTTCTTGATCCCATCCAGCTCTTTCAAAACTTGCTGCATGTCGGGTCGAATCTGAGCCTGCCTGAGGCTGCACCGCATCCCCAGCCGCAGGAACCACTCAAACGTATCCTCCAGAGCCTCGCTCCCACACGTTTCCTCCAAAGGCCCGCTCTCACCCATCCCTCCCTCCCCATTCACACTGTTACCTCCGCCCTCTCCTCCCCTTGCTCCCCCTCCCGCTCCCGCTCCCCCTCCTGCTCCCGCTCCCCCTCCCACTCCCGCTCCCCCTGCCCCCCCGCTCCCCCCCTCCCCCGCCTGCTGCCTCTCCCACAAGGCTTTCAATACCGGGTCCATTACACTGTACACGCCCCCGTGGTTGGTAACCCTATCGATCACGATCGATCGGATATGCTCCCCGTTGGTCACAGGCCGGAGACCAGTGGCTAGCTCTAGCAGCACGATACCAAAGCTGTACACGTCGCTCTTTTCCGTGAGTAAATCACACTGGAAATACTGTGGGTCCAAATAACCCTGGTGTAGACAAGGTGGGCGAAAACAGAGAGGAAGAGAAGAGGATTTTGGAACAGCCTGTATCAACACACTCACTCCCCTTTGGCGCTTGAAAGGGTTCAAAGGCGAATAAGAAAAATCACACTTACGTGTCCAGCCTCCCCCTCCTCCCCACCTCCTCTGGAACAGCCTTCGAAGTTCTCCGTCACTCCCTCCCTCCTCCCTCCCCCTCCCCCAATGCACTCACCACTCCCCCAATGCACTCACCACTCCCCCAATGCACTCACCACTCCCCCAATGCACTCACCACTCCCCCAATGCACTCACCACTCCCCCATTGCACTCACCACTCCCCCAATGCACTCACAACTCCCCCTGCACTCACCACTCCCAACCTGCACTCGCCACTCCCCAAATGCACTCACCACTCCCCCAATGCACTCACCACTCCCCCAATGCACTCACCACTCCCCCAATGCACTCACCACTCCCCCAATGCACTCACCACCGTCCCCTTCAATTGCGTGTCCAGCCTCCTCCCCTTCCCACCTCCGCTGGAACCACCTTGGAGATACTCGGTTACTCACCTCCGGCTCCCTTCCCCACCCCTGCAATCACCTTCCCCACCCCTACACTTACCACTTCCCTCACCCCTGCACTCCCCACTGTTCCCTTCACTTGTGTGTCCATGCTTCCCCGCTCCTCCTCTCCAAGACAGCCTTAGAGATTCTCAGTCACTCCCTGCCTCCCCCCTTCCCCCCTGCACTCACCACAGTCCCTTTCACTTGCGTCTCCAGCCTCCCCCCCTTCTCCACCTCCTCAGGAACAGCCTTGGAAATACCAAAGTCGGACACCTTGGCTTCGAGGCCTGCTGTGATCAGGATGTTGGCTGTCTGGTGGGGGAAAATGGGGGGAATGATCAAGGGAGAGGGAATGACGGAGGCAGGGGGGGTATATATGAGTTCAGCCTTGGAAATACCAAAGTCGGACACCTTGGCCTCGAGGCCTGCTGTGATCAGGATGTTGGCTGTCTGGTGGTAGGTGTGGCGGGGGAAAGGAACGGCGCAGGGGGAAGGAGAGGGGGAAGTAGCCAAAGGGGTGCATATGCTGTCAGTTTCGGGGGGAACACAGAGGTAAATCTGGTGTGATAGGCGGGGGGGAGATAGGGGGAAGGGCAAGGGGCACGAGGGCAAGGAGCCATGGGGCTTGAATGGGGTGCAGGGGTCAGGAGAAAGGAGCCCGGGGGCAATAAGCAAGGAAGGCTGGGTGTATACATTGGAGCTGCTATGCAGCTCCACTGCTAGGCAAGGCAACCCCACTGCACCCACCCGGCAACGCCAATCCGTTGGCCAGATCATTCGTGTGGCTTTTGAGTTTTGAGTCGACTCAAAAGCTGACTCTTGAGTCGACTTTTGAGTTTTGAGTCGACTCAAAACTCAAAAGTCGACTCAAGACTCATTCGTGTGACTTTTGAGTCGACTCAAAAGTCACGACATTGGGTCATGCACACACATAAGCACGGTTCACACACGCACACCCACTCGAGCATTGGTGCATTCATGTTGGCACATGCCTGCACACACAACGCAGCTTGCATGCACGTCCAACACGCATGAGCATGGATGTATGACACGCACACGCATCACACGCACACGCATCACACGCACACGCATCACACGCACACGCATCACACGCACACGCATCACACGCACACGCATCACACGCACAGGCATCACACGCACACGCATCACACGCACACGCATCACACGCACACGCATCACACACACACGCATCACACGCACACGCATCACACGCACACGCATCACACGCACACGCATCACACGCACACGCATCACACGCACACGCATCACACGCACACGCATCACACGCACACACACGCATCACACGCACACGCATCACACGCACACGCATCACACGCACACGCATCACACGCACACGCATCACACGCACACGCATCACACGCACACGCATCACATGCACACGCATCACATGCACACACATCACATGGACACACATCACATGCACACGCATCACACGCACACGCATCACATGTACACACATCACATGCACACACATCACATGCACACACATCACATGCACACACATCACATGCACACACATCACATGCACACGCATCACATGCACACACATCACATGCACACACATCACATGCACACACATCACATGCACACACATCACACGCACACACATCACATGCACACACATCACATGCACACACATCACACGCACACACATCACATGCACACACATCACATGCACACACATCACATGCACACGCATCACATGCACACGCATCACATGCACACACATCACATGTACACACATCACATGCACACGCATCACACGCACACGCATCACATGTACACACATCACATGCACACACATCACATGCACACACATCACATGCACACACATCACATGCACACACATCACATGCACACGCATCACATGCACACACATCACATGCACACGCATCACATGCACACACATCACATGCACACGCATCACATGCACACAAAGACTCCCTCCATACCCTCAGGTTGCGGTGGATAATGGGGGGGGTTTGATCTGATGGTGCAGGTATGCAAACCCACTAGCTGCCCCACACACGATGCGAGATGCGCACATATGAGCACGCATGCATATTCCAACACACACAGACCCTCCCCTCCCTACCTTCACATCCCGGTGGATGATGGGCGGCTTGATCTGATGGTGCAGGTAGGGAAACCCACTGGCTTCCTTGCCCCACACGCAATGCAAGCCCCTAAGGCATATGAGCATGCCCGGTTGTGCACACACCTTCACATCGCGGTGAATGATGGGCGGCTTGATCTGATGGTGCAGGTATGCGAACCCACTGGCTGCGCCACACGCGATGTCAACCCGCTGCCGCCACGTCAGCGGATGCTTTGAGTCCGCTGATAGGCGCCGCACACAAAGGGGAGAGAAAGGGTATGGGGTGTTAATTTACTTGACGACTCTTGAGAAGCATAGAAAGTTGTCTCCCTACCCGCAAGCCTGTCGTCCCGTCACATCGCCTCTGCACCACCAAACTGCACTATTGCTGCGTCATTGCTGGCTTCCTTGATGCTCACTTCTCAGCACGTCCTCGAGTGTCTCTCTCTTTATATAATCCATACACCAGCAGCTGCTCGCCAGCCTCCACACACAAGCCAGTCAGTGCACTCACCATAAAGTGGCATCATTACCCTCCCCCCTCCTCCTCACCCCCTACTCCTCCACTCCCTCTTCTCACTCAATACTCACCTCTCAGCAGATCTTCCAGCGTCCCCCTTTCAATGAATTCATACACCAGCAGCTGCTCCCCTGCTTCCACGCAGAAGCCCTTGAGTGCCACCAGGTTGCGGTGGCGCACGGCTGACAGCAGCTGGATCTCGTTGCGAAACTCAGTGCCACACAGCTGGTGGGTGGGGGGGCGTGCATGGGGGGGTTCGGGAGGAGGAGAGACGGTGAGATGGAGAAACAGAGGAAGAGGGGTGCCTTCAAGGCCATCAGGTTGCGGTGGCGCACAGCTGACAGCAGCTGGATCTCGTTGCGAAACTCAGTGCCACACAGCTGGTGGGTGGGTGGGTGGGTGGGTGGGTGGGCATACTAGGGAGGGGATTGGGGGAGAGATGGTGAGTAGGCGGGACACAGAAGGCCCTGAGAGCCTTGAGATTGCGGTAGCGCACGGCAGAGAGCAGCTGAATGGGAGAGGAGAGGAGAGGGAGACAAAAGCCCTTCAGTGCGACGAGGTTGCGGTGGCACAAGGCAGAGAGCAGCCGTTGCAAAATTTCGTGCCGCACAACTGGTGGGTGGGCCGTGCATAGGGGGGAGTGGGGGAGAGTAGAGAGAAGTGAGTTGGAGAGACACAGACCGAAGCCCGCGAGTGCCTCGAAGCTGCGATGGAGCACAGCTGAGCTGAGCTGAGCTCTCGTTGCGGAAATCAGTGCCACACAGCTGGTGGGTTGTGGGGAATAGAAGGTGAGATGGTGGACGGATGGATGGATGGATGGATGGATGGATGGATGGATGGATGGATGGATGGACGGACGGACGGACGGACGGACGGACGGACGGACGGACGGAGGGATGGATGGATGGACGGAGGGATGGATGGATGGATGGATGGACGGACGGACGGACGAATGGATGGATGGATGGATGGATGGATGGATGGATGGATGGATGGATGGATGGATGGATGGATGGATGGATGGATGGATGGATGGATGGATGGATGGATGGATGGATGGATGGATGGATGGATGGATGGATGGATGGATGGATGGATGGATGGATGGATGGATGGATGGATGGATGGATGGATGGATGGATGGATGGATGGATGGATGGATGGATGGATGGATGGACGGACGGACGGACCGACGGGCGGACGGACGGACGGACGGACGGACGGACGGACGGACGGACGGACGGACGGACGGACGGACGGACGGACGGATGGATGGATGGATAGATGGATGGACGGAGAGGTTACACGTGCACGGTAGGCATTGAGCGTTCATTGTAGAGGAGACAGGACGCATTTACATCCACTCAATCGGGCATCGCATTACGTTGATTCACAAGGAAAGATATGCAGACATGTGTACCACTTGATTGATGCCCCACCTGAAGACCCACCTGAAGGTTCACCTGACTGACAGAGTTCATCCTGACCCACCTTCACGTGGCCCTTGGCTCGCTTCACTGCCACCACTTCCCCCCATTCCATTACTCCTCGGTACACCTGAGAGTGGCTTAGGCATGGGACGAAGGAGAGGCACGGGGAAAGCCTAAAGTTGCAGCATAGTGTTTTGACATACGGAACCACACCCCCTGATTCCAGCACTGGGGTATGGGGAGCAAAGAGGCAAGGCATGGGGAGCAGATAGGCAAGGCATGGGGAGCAGAGATGGGAGGCGAGGTGAAGGCAGAGCATTGCTGTGCTACCCCCCAGAGATCCGCACCACTCAGTACACCTGACAGTGGTTCAGAACTTCAGCCACATGGAGGAGGCATGAGAAGAGGCATGGGAAGAGGAATGGGAAGAGGAATGGGAAGAGGAAATAGGAGAAGCATGGGAAGAGGCATGGGAAGAGGAAATGGGAGGAGGCATGGGAAGCGAAGCTGTTCCACCCCAACCACTATCATACTTGTCCGTATCCTCCCCTTCCCCCTCACAGATATACAGTATACCTGCCCCATATCCTTCCCCACCTCTCACATATATGCCTCGCCATATACCTGCCCATATCCGCCCTCCCCCAGCAGTACCTTGTAGCCCTTGGTCGTGTCCGCTATCTCTCTCCCTGAGCGTGCACCTGTCTGTACCTTCCCACTTGACCCCTCCCCCCTCACACCATCGAACCCGACAATATCCGTCTGAACCTGTCTGTACCTTCCCATTTGCGCCCTCCCCCCTCACACCATCAAACCTGTCCATACTCGTCTGTATCTATCTGTATCTCATGGTGCAACCTCATGGTTTGCACTCGGTTTGTTGTTCTTGTACTGCGTGTGTGTTTGCATGGAATGGTATAAGAGCATAGGATAACACATATTTTTCATGCTTGTATGAGTATGTGAATGATGAGTCATGATGTCGAACGTGTGTGTTGCGTCAATTGCAATTTTTCGCTAGTCACGTGCCACGTCGCCGTTTAAGTATCGTGTGTGTTTTCTGTTTTGTCGTTGTGTGTAGCAAACCAGCCAACCAGCAAGAACTCAAATGATAAACCAGAGCCTTCGTTTTAAGACTCAAGTGAATCCGGAGCTCGTCAAAAGGGTCAACATCAAGATAGTGAAAATAGTTACATTGCCTTGTGTAATGTAACATTTCTCTTGGTGTATGCCCTTGTGGTATATATTTTTGAGACCCTTCGTGGTCGTGGATTGTGTCCCTGGAACTCGGCCCCTGGGTTTTGTAGAGGCTTTGAGTCATTCCCAACTCGAACTTCTTCCTCATTTGTGCTCTAAGACTACAGTTGCTGTCACACTGTCGTTCGCTCAAACTAATGCCACGTTGTCAATCCTTCATCAAATCGAGTGATTAAAATTGCATACTGTAGACGAAATCAAGGCGCTCGGGATCCCATTCATAACACTTTATTTAATGCTGTGACAAGAACGCTATCAAGTTTTGAAGCGGCTCAGCATAGATCCGTCTATGCCCTCTATCTTTCGTTTACGTTACATTGGAGCCTATTGTGACAATGACAGACTGTAACTACCTATACCTTCCCATCTGCACCCTCCCCTCATAGTCACATTTGACATCTCCTTGACCTTGCACCTGTATGCATTCCGTACCTTCCCGTCCGCCCCACAGATATATCTCCCCTACACACGTGTCTGTCCGTCCGCCCTCCCCCAGCCCGTTTGCCCCACAGATATTTGAGATACCTCCCCATACACACCTGTCCGTATCCGCCCTCCCCCAGCAGTGTCTTGAACCCCTGGGTCGCATCCGCTATGTCCTTGAGCTTGCACCGGTGCACCCCCAGCATCTGCAACCCCTCTATTGCCTTGTAGTCCTCTGAGCTCCACAGGTCTCCTGTTGTAGGAGAACAGAGAGGTGGGAAGGGGTGAAGAGGGGTGGGAAGGGAAGGGGAGGGGTGGGGAGAGATGGGGAGGGGTGGGGAGCACATATTGCCTCTCCTTGAGCTCGCACCGACGCATGCCCAGCATCTGCAGCCCCTCGACCGCCCTGTAGTCCTCTGAACTCCACAGGTCTCCTGTTGCAGGGAAACATAGAGGTGGGGAAAGGATGGGGAGGGATGGGGAGGGGCGAGGAGGGATGGGGAAGTGTGGTGAGCACACGTTGGCTCTCCTTGAGCTTGCGCTGGTGCATCTGGAGCCCCTCGATCGTGCTGTCGGCTGTAGTGCTCGAAGCTCCACAGGTCACCTGTTGTTGTTGTTGTTGCAGCAGGGGAAAAGTGGGAGGGGCAAAAAGTTGTGGGGATGGGGAAAGCAAGAGCAGGAAGAGCAAGTCAAGTTTTTGACGAATGGCGTTGTGTCAGAATATCACTCTTCTTGTATCCTACATATTACCTACATCATCAGAGCTAGGCGCCCAAACCTTGATTGGGTGTACAACTGAATCTCCCTTAGAGTTGGCAATTCAACGTTGGGTTGGGGGAATATAGGATGATTTAATGACTGAACTCAGACTAAGTTTGTACTGAACCAACCCAAATTATTGTCAGGGGCCAAAATTGCTGGCCACAGTACCAATCCAACCAAACCCATCTTTTCACAACCAAAAATGCGTACCCTCCTTGACACGTTTCACCTCTTGTCGATTTATAACATTTTCCACCACCTCACCCCTCTCCTTCCTATCATGTCTCTCCTCCCTCTCACCTCTCTCCTCGCTCTCACCTCTCTTCTCCTCCTCACCTCGCTTCTCCTCCTCACCTCTCTCCTCGCTCTCACCTCTCTTCTCCTCCTCACCTCGCTTCTCCTCCTCACCTCTCTTCTCCTCCTCACCTCTCTTCTCCTACTCACCTCTCTTCTCCCTCTCTCACCTCGCTTCTCCCGCTCACCTCTCCTCTCCCAGGGTCGCACAATGAGGGCGATGACAACAGCAGCGGAAGACACTGAGATAGATTTTGAGTCGACTCAAAACCCTTATCCCGCTCCCCGTTCTCCGTCCTACCTCTCCTCTCCCAGGGGCGCATGAGAAGAAGCACAATGAGGGCGATGGCAACAGCAGCGGAGGACACTGAGATGGCCACGATGGCACCCGTGCTCAGCCCAGAGGAAGCAGTCTGCTGCGGCGGTGGGGGGGGAGTGTAGGCTGTGGGCGTGGGGTGGTTGGATGGGTTGGAATAAGAGGGCGCAGAGAGAGGAGGGGAGGCACACTGAGATGGCAACGGTGGAGCCTGTGCTCAGCCCAGGAGATGCAGTCTGCTGCTGCGCTGGAGGAGTGTAGACTGTAGTTGGAAGGAGAGAACAAAGGGAAAGGGAAGGGCGAAACAGAAGAGAGGTAAGAGCACACTGAGATGGCAACGATGGCGCCCGTGCTCATTTTTGAGGCGCCTCAAAAGTGGTCACTGAGATAGCAGCGGTGGTGCCGTGCCAGTGCTCAGCCCAGAAGAGGTCTGCTGTGACGGTGTCGTGTGCCATTGTAACGAGGTGACTTTTGAGTCGACTCAAAAGTCACTGAGATAGCAACGATGGCACCAGTGCTTACTCTCAGCCCAGACGACGTGTGTCTCAGAGGGGAACATCTGGGGGCCGCCGGTGTGTGTCTCTGGGGGCAGACAGCAAGATGATCAGCCCAGCAGAGGTGCCACACACGCACATACGACAAACTCACGCGCCGGGCTGTACAATCCAACCGCATGATAAAAAGTTGAGTGTTGAGACGTCTCCAAACTCTACTATTATCACATAAAGCGAAACAAAACCAGACTCACGCGCGGGGCCGTAGAATCCAACCACTCGAAAGAGCCCAAAGTTGCCAAGAGCAACGCGCACGGCAAGGTCCCGGGTGGTGAGCGCGCTGCGGATGGCCTGCGGTGTGTCTCGCGGGTGCCAGCTGCCATCGCCGCCCGGAGGGAAGAAGAGGACGGTGATGATGAGCGTTGACTCGTGGTTGATGTGCTCCGAGGCAAAGGTGGAGGCGAGCGAGTCGAGCGAAGCGGGGCTTCTTATGGAAGAGACGAGGACCTGGTGGGAGGGAAAGTGGAAGGAGAGGGAGTGAGAGGGGAAGTATGAGAAATCAAGTCCTTGATTCGTGATTTTGACTTTGGGGATGCCATGTGGCCTGTGGTGTGATGCGAGGGGACCACCACCAGCTATTGTTGAATCCCCCGGAGGGAAGAAGAGAAGCGTGATGATGAGCGTTGACTGGTGGTTGATGTGCTCCGAGGCGAAGGTGGAGGCGAGTGAGTCGAGCGTGGAGGGGCTGCTGATTGCAGAGACGAGGACCTGGTGGGGAGGGAGGAGGAGTGGTGGGGAAGAAGAGGGTGATGATGAGCGTTGACTGGTGGTTGATGTGCTCCGAGACGAAGCGGGTGAAGAGGGGAAGAAGAGGGTGATGATGTGAGTGGACTGATGTTGATCTGGGACCTGCTGGTGAGCTCAGCGAAGGTCCGCTGCTCCAGCTGCAGGCACCTCAGAGTAAACCCAGAAGTTACACCACACAACTGTCCCAGGAAACTGACCTGTGGCCTGGTGATGTTGATCTGCGCCTTGCTGGTGAGCTCCGAGAAGATCCGCTGCTCCAGCTGCTGCACCAGCGCCTCATGGTACACCACGAAATCCGATATAAACAGCTCCAGGTCGGCTCGTAACGGGGACACGCACACGCAAGAGTGTGACTCGTTATAGAGTGGTGCGCTAGGGCTGTAGAGGTCGTTCTCGCAGGCGAGGCCGTCACAGAAGGCAGGGGTGGTGTATTGGGTGAGGGGGGTCGGGGGGGAGCAGACTTGCGTGTAGTCTGGCTTGAATGGCTTGCAGAGATCGTTGTTGAAAAGCCTGGGGGGGCAGAGGGTGGGTCGGGAGAGGGAGACAAAGGGGAAAGTGGGAGAATGGGGAGGCGTGGAGAAGAGAGAAGGAAGGACAGGAGCAGAAGGGAACAGAGGAGGGGCGGGAATGTAAGAACTTGAGCTTGAAGTGATACATCAGGTACTGAGCTCAAGGCTCTTAAAACGAGGGTCTAGATTTGCCTGGCGGAGGTTCAGAAGTTTTTGTTTTGAACCAGGCTTGCCAGCGCGAAAGTGTTGGCTGGCGAAAACCTGGATTTCGTGCAGACACTTTTCCCCCAAAGTAACAGTTCGCCAGGGTTTAGGGTTTCGGGTGGCAAATGTCCACTGTCGCTTTAACTACATCCCAAGAGAATTGGCTGAAATGAAGCAAGAAATTGATGGGGAGGGAATCGGGAGCAATCCCAAGAGGATTGGCTGAAATCTCCAATTGGTAAGTTGGAGATTTCAGTTTATCATGTTTGGGTTCGGTTGAGATGTGGATGTAGATTCAACCAACTCAAACTACAAACTACACTACGATATAAAATTACAAGTACAAAGGTTGAGATTGAGGGCTAACACAACAGAAAATGGGGGTGGAAAAGAGAAGGCGAATAAGAGGAAATGGAAATGTGAGGGTGGAAAAGAGAGGGTGGAAGAAAGGGGGTGCTATATAGCAGCGACAGCAGCAGCGGCATCTTCGTTTTCGTTTTCAAGTACAGACTGTGAGGGATCACGCTCATCACTGCAGAGTGAGGTTCCCACTGGTGAGTAGGGAGGGCGCACACTAGAGGGAAGAAAACTAAAGGACGACACACTAAACAGCAGCAGACTGGAGGGTGGCACACTAGAGGGCGGCACACTAGAGGGCGGCACACTAGAGGGCGGCACACTAGAGGGCGGCACACTGGAGGGCGGCACACTAAAGGGCGGCACACTAAACGACAGCACACTGGAGGGCCACACTGGAGGGCGGCACACTGGAGGGCGGCACACTGGAGAAGCCACTCACTGCAGTGTGATGTTGTTGCTCTTGGCGAGCAGGGCGGGCGGCAGGGAGGAGAGGGAGTTGTCAAAGAGGGAGAGTGACACGATGCTGGGCAGCGATGAGAGGTCCGGCAGGGGACCACTGAGCTGGTTGCCTGATAGGAAGCTGGAGGGGTGGAGAGTACAGGGGGATGCGGGGAATAACTATGGTTTGCATTTCCCCTTTGAAGGGGCATTAGTCATGGTGGGAGGGAGATAGTGGAAAGGGGAGAAGGAGCCAATAGGAAGGGAATGAGAGAATAGGACAATAAGCAAAGCAGGCAGCATTGTTGGAACAGGCTTATGCTCGCTCTGCTATTGTTGTGGACCTAAATCATTATCCTGGACATCTTTAGATAGAGCAAGTTTCATTTCATCCGTCTGGTTCCAATTTCCTGTCATCATCCTAAGCTGAACAACGGTTCGGTTGATGTTTCAACCCAACCTGCTTATAACCTTGTACTATGACTTGTACATCATTCGCTTTCTCTCTCATTCTCCACTTGGCTCCTAGGTTCCTCCACCTTTCCAAAACCTGCATGGCCAAATATGGTTATACCAACTAGAATAATTATGCCAAATATACAGGTTCATGTCGGCGGCTTTCCCACTCACACGGATTGCAGATTGGCAGCATTGGCGATTGCTGGAGGGAAGCTCGAATAAAGATCGTTGTTAGCCAAATTGCTGGCGAGCGAGGGAGGAAGGAGAGAAAGAGGAGAGGTCATGGAAAGGGGCAGGGAGAGGGGTTGGTTGCAATGGAACTTGAGACTTGAACGAAGTGCGTGGCACGGGGTGCGTGGCATGGGAGCATGTCATGGGGTGCATGGCATGGGAGCATATCATGGGGTGCATGGCATGGGAGCATATCATGGGGTGCATGGCATGGGAGCATGTCATGGGGTGCATGGCATGGGAGCATGTCATGGGGTGCATGGCATGGGAGCATGTCATGGGGTGCATGGCATGGGAGCATGTCATGGGGTGCATGGCATGGGATCATGTCATGGGGTACATGGCATTGGGTGCATGGCATGGGAGCATGGCACAAAAAAAAGACAGCCTGATGGAATTCATCAACGGACAGTTGACGGTGAAAACTTTGCTGAGATGTTGCCGTGGCTCAACAGCGTTTCGGCAGAAATTCAAACACGGAAAATGTGATGTTTAAAGCTCTGATGAAATGCTATTGAGCCATGTCTTGGAAATGCACATGCACGGTAGGAAACAGAAACAGAGGAGTTGAACTGACAGGTTGACGAGGTTAGGGTGCTGCCAAAATAGAGCACCCGGGATGGATCCTGTAAAACTGTTGCTGCTCAGGTCCCTGGGAGGCGATGTGGGAAGGTGAAGGGGAGGCAATGCGGGAGTGGGAGGGAGAAGGGAAGGGAAGGGGTAAAAGGGGGACTGGGGGAGAGAAGGGGGTTGGGAGGGAGAAACGGTCTAGCAGGAAGAGTTCAGTAGCGTTCTAGCAGACAGACTTTGAGAGGGTGAGGTGCTGGGAAGTGGGGGGAGAATGGTGTGGAAGTGGGGAAGTGAATAGAAACCAGACAAAAGAGAAAAGGGGGTGGGAAAGTTCTTTCAAATGGTTCAACGCAGATCATGTAGGTGATTTTGATGGGAATTGAATGGGGATGGATGGATGGATGGATGGATGGATGGATGGATGGATGGATGGATGGATGGATGGATGGATGGATGGATGGATGGATGGATGGATGGATGGATGGATGGATGGATGGATGGATGGATGGATGGATGGATGGATGGATGGATGGATGGATGGATGGATGGATGGATGGATGGATGGATGGATGGATGGATGGATGGATGGATGGATATGTGCATTGCGAAACAAGGCTTACAGGTTGGAGAGGTTGCGAGAGATAGGGAAGGAAGGGAGAGGCTGTTTGGGTAGAGAGCAGTTGCTGAAGAGGCTGTGTGAGGATGGGATAGACATACATGCATGCATGCACACACATGCACATGCGCACACGCACGCACGCACACACATGCGTGCACAAGCAGACTTGTATGTAGTCATGAGATCCATACCATGCACTACGCACACACACATGAACATAGACACATGATGCATGCACATGGACACATGCACACTTGCAGGGAAACACACACATGCACATGCACATGCGTATGGACACATACACAGGCGCATGGAAATAGACACATCCACGCATGCACATGCACATTTGGGTGTAGTCACATGCAATACCCACATCTACAAACAGAGCAAGCATCAAATCACCTTCAACCCTGCTCTGCAATACGCTAACATGTCGAGTCGACATAGAAACATTATATCATGAAGTTACAAGTTCCCGAGTCGGAGAACAACTTACAAGTCCTTGAGTCCTGGAATAATGCTTGGGGTTGAAAAGAAGGTTTGAGACTCACAAGTCCTTGAGTCGGGGGAAGAACCAGGTGGAAGGGAAGGGGCCGGGTATTCTGTTGTTGCTCCAGTAGCTGGATGGAGAGGCAGGGAGAGGGGAGGGAAGGGAGAGGTGGGGAAGGGAGAGGTGGAGGGGAAGGGGCCGGGTATTACGTTGTTGCTCCAGTAGCTGGATGGAGAGGCAGAGAGAGGGGAGGGAAGGGAGAGAAGGGGAAGGGATGGGGAAGGGAATGGATTGGGAGGGAAGAGAGGGCGAAGGGGAGGGAAAAGGGAGAAAAGTGAGGAGGGGAGGAAAGGAAGTGGGGAAGGAAGGGAGAGAGAATGGGAAGGGAGAAGGGAGGGAAATGAGTGGGGGAGAACAGAGGGGGGATGAAATGGAGGGAGAAAGCAAGGGAGCAGAGTGGAGAGGTGAAGGAGGCGAGAGGTTCAAGTGGTGGCTCCAGTAGAGGGTAGGAAGAAAGGAAAGGAAGGTAAGAGGGGAGAAGGTGGAGGGCAGGGGGCGAAGAACAATGGATTATGGTGACTACAGCAGTTGCTTGCTTGGTGGGGCGGGAAGGGAGGGTGTGGGAGAGGGTGGGAGAGAGTGGGAGAGGAGAAAACGGGTCACACTAAGGGGGGAGCAAGGGGATTACTTGGTTTTAACATGGAGGCACGTAGTGACGAGCGGCACAAGACGAGCTAAGAACAACAACGCTAGCTTGCAGCAGGTTACGAGCAGCAGCAGAAGCAGCTTATGAGCAGGAGGTGGTACACGCACAACTTTTGAGTTGTGCAAGCACTTTCGACTCAAACGTTACCTCACACAGCAGGAGACGGGCAAGCAACATAAAGGTGGTGCGAGCGAGCGCTCTATGCATGCGATACGAACAGTGCTTGCTAAATTCACACCCGGTTCTTAACAGCTAATTTAACAAGACTCCTAGCCTGAGTGAAGACACAAAAGTCGTGGAAAATGGCTCCCCCACTCATACATGACAGTGAGGTTGGTGTTGTTATCGACGCTCGCTAAACACATACATGACAGTGAGGTTGGTGTTGTTGAAAGCGAGTGGAAAGTCATGGGTGAGACGGTTGCTGTCCATCAGCCTGCCAGACATTAGCGGACAAGATTCCAACCAATATGGGTGAATAGAATGGAATAGATAAACTACACATATGACACAGCCAATCGAAGGGTATGGGTGGGAATTACAGGGTACATTACTCAGCACGACTCACACATGCGTTTCGACAGCACGACTCACACATGCGTTTCGACAGCACGACTCACACATGCGTTTCGACAGCACGACTCACACATGCGTTTCGACAGCACGACTCACACATGACTTTCGACAGCACGACTCACACATGCGTGCCCTCAGCACGACTCACAGGTGCAGCAGTTTGGGCAGTCTGCTGATCTCTGCTGGAACAGACGTGAAGAGGTTGTTGCTCATGTGGCTGCCGGGCAGGGGGGCCACAGGGGGGGAGTGTGGGAGAGGGGAGGGAGGGGGGAAATACAGATTACTGGAAAGCGAACGGAACGGAGAAAAAGAAGATGTGGGGAGAGAGGACGTGAGAGGGAGCAACAGACACCCAAAGGTGCCCGATCTCAGGGTGGGAAAGGAGAGGTGAAAGCAGGTGAGGATGGTGATACTCACAGCGAGCGGGCTCACAGCGAGCGGGATGGGTGATACTCACAGGGGGGGGAAGGGGTGATACTCATAGGGAGAGGGATGGGGGTGATACTCATAGGAAGAGGGATGGGGGTGATACTCATAGGGAGAGGAATGGGGGTGATACTCATAGGGAGAGGGATGGGGGTGATACTCATAGGAAGAGGGATGGGGGTGATACTCATAGGGAGAGGAATGGGGGTGATACTCATAGGGAGAGGGATGGGGGTGATACTTATAGGGAGAGGGATGGGGGTGATACTCATAGGGAGAGGGATGGGGGTGATACTCATAGGGAGAGGGATGGGGGGGTGATACTCATAGGGAGAGGGTTGGGGGTGATACTCATAGGGAGAGGGATGGGGGTGATACTCATAGGGAGAGAGATGGGGGTGATACTCATAGGGAGAGGGATGGGGGTGATACTCATAGGGAGAGGGATGGGGGTGATACTCATAGGGAGAGGGATGGGGTGATACTCATAGGGAGAGGGATGGGGGTGATACTCATAGGGAGAGAGATGGGGGTGATACTCATAGGGAGAGGGATGGGGGTGATACTCATAGGGAGAGGGATGGGGGTGATACTCATAGGGAGAGGGATGGGGGTGATACTCATAGGGAGAGGGATGGGGGTGATACTCATAGGGAGAGGGATGGGGGTGATACTCATAGGGAGAGGGATGGGGGTGATACTCATAGGGAGAGAGATGGGGGTGATACTCATAGGGAGAGGGATGGGGGTGATACTCATAGGGAGAGGGATGGGGGTGATACTCATAGGGAGAGGGATGGGGGTGATACTCATAGGGAGAGGGATGGGGGTGATACTCATAGGGAGAGGGATGGGGGTGATACTCATAGGGAGAGGGATGGGGGGGTGATACTCATAGGGAGAGGGTTGGGGGTGATACTCATAGGGAGAGGGATGGGGGTGATACTCATAGGGAGAGAGATGGGGGTGATACTCATAGGGAGAGGGATGGGGGTGATACTCATAGGGAGAGGGATGGGGGTGATACTCATAGGGAGAGGGATGGGGGTGATACTCATAGGGAGAGGGATGGGGGTGATACTCATAGGGAGAGGGATGGGGGTGATACTCATAGGGAGAGGGATGGGGGTGATACTCATAGGGAGAGGGATGGGGGTGATACTCATAGGGAGAGGGATGGGGGTGATACTCATAGGGAGAGGGATGGGGGTGATACTCATAGGGAGAGGGATGGGGGTGATACTCATAGGGAGAGGGATGGGGGTGATACTCATAGGGAGAGGGATGGGGGTGATACTCATAGGGAGAGGGATGGGGGTGATACTCATAGGAGGGGATGGTTGACACTCACAGGTGGTTGAGCTCGTTTGCACCCTCGAACAATGGCAGGGAACCTTCCATCGGGTTCTTCATGGCGTTAAGCATGTGGAGGCGACGCAGGGAAGAAGGAGACGGGGAGTCACTCACAGGTGGTTGAGCTCGTTTGCACCCTCGAACAATGGCAGGGAACCTTCCATCTGGTTCTTCATGGCGTTAAGCATGTGGAGGCGACGCAGGGAAGAAGGAGACGGGGAGTCACTCACAGGTGGTTGAGCTCGTTTGCCCCCTGGAACTTTGGCAGGGACCCTTCCATCCGGTTGTCCATGACATCAAGCATGTAGAGGCGCGGGAGAGAGCCTATCTGGGCAGGCAGGCTGCAGGGGCAGGGTGGGTATCACTCACAGGTGGTTGAGCTCGTTTGCACCCTCAAAGGTCGGCAGGGGCCCTTCCAGCTGATTCTCCATGACGTCAAGCATGTAGAGCTGGGGGAGGGTGCCGATCTGTGTTGGCAGGGAGCCCGAGAGGCGGTTCTGGTTGACCAGAAAGTAGCTCAGGCTGGTGAGTCGGCCGATGGTGGATGGGATTGAGCCGGACAGGCTGCACCCGTGCATGTCCCTGCGGAGGGCGGCGAAAGGAGGGTTGGGTTGGGGGAAGGAAGAGGCGGTTGTGATTGGCTAGGAAGTATTTGAGGCTGGTGAGTCGCCCTATGGTGGACGGGATGGAGACTGATAGGCAACACTTGTGCATCTCCCTGCTTGTTGTTTGTGCGGGGGGAGGGGGTGCAGAAGGGGTGGTATAAGGGGCAGGAAAGAGGAATTTCAGATAGCCCGTGTGCTCCTGTATGCAGATTTCCCATATGCAGTGCGCTTATGGTGCACCGGAATGCTTACAGCCCAGCAGAGTGCCTAGAATGCAGCAGTGTCCGTACAACACAGGTGCTCACAGCGCAGCGCAGCAGAGAGAGCTCACAGGAAAGAAGTGCTCACTACTCACAGCGTGGTGAGCTGCAGGAGGTTTCCGAGAGCATCTGGAAAGCTGCCCGTCAGATTCGGGTTGAGCGCCAGATTGCTGAAGAAAGGGGGGCAGAAAGGGGCAGGGACAGGAGTCACAATGGGAGCGTCAGGGTTACTGAGGGTAAGAGGTTCCATGAGCTACGAATTGAGATCTTCAGCTGGCTGTGGATAGTGAAGGGGGAAGGGGGAGGAAGATATGGAAAGTGCGAGACAGTCGAATGAAAGAGAGGGGAAGGGGGGCATGCAGTCGAATGATAGAGAGGGACGGGCGGATGGGGGTGGCATGGGAACTCACACCAGGCGAAGCGATGTGAGGTTGAAAAGGGAAGGCGGCAAGTCTCCTGATAGCTGGGCGTCCTGAATGTCACTGAAGGGGGTGAGAGAGGGGAGAGGAGGAAGGAAATGACAGGAGGAGAGGCGAAGGGGTAAGAAAACTGTCGTTCCAGCTTTCCCTCAAAACGTAATTCTCACATGTCTTTCTTTAAATTGGCGTTGTGCACATCACAATGCGCTCGCTGCATCTGCATCTGCACCACCACCTGCACGGGCCTTCCCCAGTCCTAGCACAGCATACCACCTCAATGACCCTTCCTGCACTCACATCCCAGCCAACGGTTACTTTTGTTAATTCTCAAAAGTGACTCCCGAACAGCGTACCACCTCATTGCCCCTTCCTGCACTCACATCCCAGCCAACGGTTTGCAAGTGTCGCACTTGATGCCAGCCCAGCCCATGCACTTCCCCCACCTGCTTCGCATGGCCCGTTCAGGCAAGGAGCAGTGAGCGCCACCATAGTCCCCCTTCCCGCACTCACATCTCAGAAACAGTGTTGTACGGGCTGCCTGTGTCGCACTTGATGCCAGCCCATGCGCTCCCTGCATACGCCCTGCACGGTTTGCCCCCCCGTTCAAGCAAGGAGCACCACCCAACGCCCCCTACCCCCACGCACATCTCAGCCACGTGTTATACGGGCTGCCTGTGTCGCACTTGATGCCCTGCACAGTCATGCATTCCCTGCATACGCCCTGCACGGTTTGGCCCCCCGTTCAAGCAAGGAGTACCACCCTGCACGGTTTTGCCCCCCTCCCGCACCGCACTCACATCTCAGCAACTGTACTGTACGGACTGCCAGTGTCGCACTTGATGCCAGCCCACGCGCTCCCCGCATCTCCCCCACACGGATCATCCCCCGTCCACGCGTTGAAAGGGGGGCTGCTGGGGCTGCCTAGAGTCGCGAAGGTCCTGAGAATGGCCACTGGAAGGTGGGTCAGTGGGGAAGGGGAACGCAGACAAGGTACACTTATGAGGTACCAGCCGTGTGAAAGGATTGGGTTGGGGTGACCAAGGTGACGTAAGTAGAGCTGCGAAGGTCCTCCGAATGGGCACTGGAAGGCGGGTGAGCGGAAACGCAGAGAAGTCATTGCTGTGTGTTTGGTGCCTAGGGACAGCACAGAATGGGCATGAGTCATCAACCGTGCATGTGATGCGGCTGTGTCTGAGGCGTTTCAAAAACCGCCTCAAAGAAAGCATGGGCAGGATGGGGCATCAGCCATGTATGCTGCAGGGCTGCTGGGGTGGAGAGGGGGGACGGAGGGTATCGCCTCAGGCTAGAGGTGGCAAAACGCGGGTTATTGTCCCTTGGCGGCACTAGGTACATTCCTATTGTGGTGAACATTCCTTTCCCTGTCGTGCATCCAGTGCGGCCAATTGGTTTTGAAAAGAGTGGGTGGGGGAAGAAGGGAGAGGGGTGGGGGAGGGCAAGGGGGGAAAGGGAGGGGGGAGAGGGATGCTGATGGGGAGTGGCGGGGGACAGCTAAAATGAGAGGCGGCGCAGCAGAGCGGCTAGCTTTTGAGGCGCTCTCAGTTCAAAGGAGCTTGCGTTCAAGGGGGTGCTCCCAGGTCACTACCAGCACTAAGTATGGCTCTTGAAAGCCGTAAGTCATGGGTGGTACGGATTTTTGCGATGCAATTTCGCCTCAAGAAAACCCACAGCGTCAAATCCATGAACGGAATCATCGTTCTCCGACTACTCGCACTGACAGCCAGAAAGACTCCACTGGAGCTCGGCAAAGGTGCACTGCTTCAACATGTGTAAAATGTGAACACATTGTCCTCCGAACGTAACCAGCATTGGGGGAATGCGAATGACGATTACCGCTTCAAATATCATCCCGGATGAATGCGCTCAAACAAATTGCGACATCCTAGGAGTGATTGAAACAGCATCCAGCAGATTCGTCTTTGCCTATTCAGTAGAATTCGGCATTCGGCAGAATCGCCGGGCCATTCGCAGGCGTATGTAGGGCTAACATTTATTCAGAAGAAACGTCTTGACGACTCAAGAATCGCCTGTGCGATCAGTGATTCGCATTAGGAATCCCAGGGAATCGCCTAGCGTCGGAGGAACGAATCGCCTACCATGAGCGGGATCAGTCACAGCGAGAACGCCGCGACTCGGTAGCAAGGCAGCGAGCAGCGCGAGCGTTGCTAGGAGCGGTACTAACTCGCACGACGATGTTGCTCGCAGCAGCGCGTGACAGCGAGATCCGACGGAACGACGAGCCATTTTCGTCCGTTGCTATTGAGAAAAATTATCGCCTGGGGCACATTGTCGTGGAGTATTTGTGTTAACAACTCCGCATCAGATTCCAGAGTTCAAACACTCCAAAAGCGACATAGTGACAGATTAGGGAACTATGTAGTGAACTGACGTCGGCCAGCGATATCCTCTCTGTCAATATTGGTCTTTTGACGTGTCACACCATTCCAAAGTTTGAACGAACCGTCCTTGAACACACTACAACTTTGGTAACCGTTGTTTTTTTTTTTTGCTTATATGAATTATACACCAGAACACAAGTGTACAACGCATAAACAGTCGTAACTGTGCATGAGAGACAGGGGGACCCGCCTCAGAATGTTCGATCCTCAGACATGGATCCGGGGCCTGCGAGGTTTGCCCCAAATTGTTGCGAAGTTGTTGGTAACCGTTGTAAACAAGCGTCAATGATAAGTTTCCCGCCAGCAATTTCTTCGCATTCGGGGCTTCCCCCTGAACATTCCGCGCACGTGCGGGTTTCTGGAGGAAAGATCCAGAAACCAGAACATTTCCGAACTGCATTTTAGGCGATTATGGACGCTTCAGTGAGGTTGGGAGAGATTAAGTGCAATTACTGATTTGACGCAGCCCCACCTCACACAAGATGCGCCTCGCCCAGTTTCCGACCCAGTGCTTGTTCAATTCACGCTCCGGGCAGCTAAGCTAGCGAGGAGTCACTTCGGGCAGCACGATACGCCGAACAAGCAGCAACCCACCAGGCATCCCTGCCCTAAACAACTGTACAGTGTTCTTCAAAATTCAACGAGTTCGTTCGTCGTGTTCCTCCTTTTGCCCGAAATTCCGCACTGTAGCTTGCCTCTGAAGGACGCATAAGCACGCGTCGGGTCTTGATTGCTTGGAAAAAGGCTTCCTGTACAAGCCGAAGCTTTATCACTATTGACTCGAGAATCACTGTGCACCAGACTTTCTTATGTCATTAAGATTTCACTCATTCTCAGTTGACCGAATGTGGTCTGAATATTTGTGGTAAATACACATGGCTAACGCTATCAGACTAAAAAGTCTTATTAGTCTGACAAACCAGAGCTATAAGCATCTATCCCCTGTTTTATAGTGACAACCCAGCACGCAAAATAGTGACCCCCGTCCCAGCTTGAAATAGTCCCGCGAAAAGCTGAAGGCATCGGCCCGAAACAACACTTATCCAAACAGCAAATGTGTTCAGATTTAAATGTTCTGATTGGCTATTGTCGAGATGAGAATGCCGTTGGCTCCCGCCAAATGGATTTTGGAGCTCAAATGAACTGGCACGCGTCTACGTGTTGCACCCTCACGACGGTTGCATTGCAAGCAAAGCGATCGTTTTGGTCGCTTGGCCCAACTGCGATTTCAAGTTGCAACTGGGTTGACAAGCAGGGCTATATTTTTTATTTTTAGCCACCCTTATTATCAGTCCTGCACTTGTGCAAATCCCTGATTATCAGTGTGACCCCTTAAGAAAATTCTTTTCCATCAGGGTTTTCCACAGTTTCAAAAAAAAAAAACCCGAAGGTCACAGTGTAAGAATTTTAAAAACCCTGATCAACTGTGTTTCTACTGAAGCTCTAAACAGAAAACAAGTACCACCAGGAATTGAAGTCAAGCCCTGATTCTTCCGAAGAACATCTACCGGTACGGACAGATCCACTTGAAGGTGAGAGAACTATTACGTCGATACTACAACTTAGCGACAAAGGTAGAAGGCTGGGGGCAGGTAAGGGGAAGGAAGGGGGGGTGGGGGGGGGGGGGGGGGGGAAGGGGGGACTCCAGATGCCTCGCGTCAGGGTAAAACTCACTACGACGAACCGGTACACTAAGGCCACAGTGTGTCTAAAACGGAAACCGTGACAGATCAGGGAAAACAAGGTCTTGAAAACAATTACCCTAAGGCAAAAGTGTGACTATTAAATTTCACCCTGATGATCACGGTATCAGGGTGATTTACACAGATAAAATTAGCCCTGTTCACAAGCCACTTTTCTATTCCCATATCACCAGTATAGCTGAAATCCTGGTCGCTTGCATCCTAGGCACGCCAAATTTTAACTTAGTTTGATTGTGTCATGTATCGACTCAGCTCGGATGCATAATGTAGTAATACTGGGCTTGGCGTTGCGAGGCGCTAAAGTATGTAAAAACGGTAACAACGAAGTGTTGGCATGTCAACCGCTCCTATTCTATGCCATATCGCGAATATGTCAGAGGCCTCTCCTGCCTGCCAATCACGACTAACCAAGCCAGCAGATCGTGTCGCCGCAGCTGACCGTCGAAACTTAACTCTAGGCGAAGCAAAACATTTCCTCGCCATCGGCATCAAGCGAAACTTCCCCTCACGCTCGCCCTGCCTTCAGTTCGCCTTCGCGATCTGCTCTCCCATCCCGTCGCCTCCCCGCTTCCCGTCGCCCTCCCTTCAGATCGAATCGCGACCTGCTCTTTCATTCCGTCGCCCTCCCGTTTCCCGTCGCCCTCCCTTCCGATCGCCTTTGTGATCTGCTCTCCTATCCCGTCAGCCTCCCGTCACCCTCTTATTTTCTTC